ACCACTTTAGCTGATGGGGCCTCCCACTGCCGTGCGATTTCTGTTCTCATCCTGAAGCAAAGCTCTGAACCTGAGGTACTACTTCTGGGTTAGCAGAGTCTGTAACCTGAAGCGTCTGTAACCTGAAACATCTGTAACCAGAGGTACCCATGTTCAAAAGCAAGACAGTATGGACTCTGAACAATATTGAAGAAAATCCAACCTTAAAAAGATATTAAGTGCAGAGGGTACTAAGTTCCTGCCTTGAGTGTGACCAAAATTTATTATGCCCATAGTTAACTTACAGTTCCACGTCTTACATATTCCAAATATGATTTTTATTTAACTGAAATCCCAGATACTTACAATCTTTAACTTGTTCCATATCAATATTATCTACTTGTGCATTTATGTGGCCTGGCAAACAAGTAAACTGAGTTTTGGCATAGTTCAAAGTAAGAATTTCCTTTTTACAAAGTGATCCAAGGTCTCTAAGAATATGCTTCATACCTATAACAGTACAGGATACAAGGACCATGTCATCTGTATGAAGCAGTGCACACCTGTTTCTCTGCATTCACCCACATGCAGGCAAGCTACCATTGTCCCTTCAGCATCAGAATTAAGACACAACAGAAAATGACTTGAATGACTTTCTTAATAATTTACATCTGATATGCAACATTCTGAACTAACTTAGGTCAACCTCTCCAAACAGATCTGTTAACCTTAGAACATATACACCTGGTAACAAGGTGAGAGCTGAAAGCATCTCATTCCTGTGTGTGGCTTGTTTTTTTTATTGGAAGGAAAACCCTCAGGACAAATGAAACCAGTTCTTCAGCCCAACCCATATCACAGTGCAAGATGAGGGGAGAGAAAAGTCACATTTCAGCAGACAATTTAGGAACTGGTACTCAAAAAATTCCTTACTGTTTCGGTCAGAATAAGAATAGCAGGTTTACAGAGTGATCCTATGTGGGGGGGCACTAGGGGGCGCATCAGAAGATGGCTGACAATAACATCTCTCCGACCCACACGAGGTAATTTGGAGGCTATGATGGGAGTAATTAGCCTCCCTACCCCCCCAGGATGGTGGGGGGGGACTGCCCTTGCCTGCTGTGCCCTATACCACCCCCGAATTTGTGGGGATGGGGGCACTAGGCACAAAGCCCTCCTGTGGGATTTTGGCGCTCCTGGACGCCGTCTCTGATCCGCGCCACTAGCTGCAAGAACTTCAAAAGAAACAATTTGGATGAAGCGAATGCACATATTTCAAGGAAGGAGGGGGGTAAAGACTGCTAACAGAAGAGATCTCTGATAAAACAAGACGAGTCGGAGGAACAAGTATAGATTATGAGAAGATACGCCAAGACTCGGTATGGTAAAGGGACTGATGGGGGAGGGGGGGGAAACTTTCCTTTCTTTCCTTATGTGATTAAACAAGAATCCCCCCCCTCACAAGTCAGAAATGTCGTTTTAAGGACTTAAGCTGTGGATTTAAGGCTGTGTGGAGATAAACTTTCGAACCAAAGCATGTTTTAAGAAGAGCGTGGAATGTATAAGGGCTTTGGAATGACGCAGTTAAAAATGCCGTCGCCATATTGGGAAGTTCTGTCGGAGGACTTAAGTCTGGGAGGAGAAATAGAGAAATAGAGCTGTTTTTATATTGTGGGTGAAACTCCTCAGAGGGACTTAAGAACGACAGTTCTGTAATTAACGATGGAAAGAGCGATGTTATCTATGAAGGCGATGATATATGGAAACCATCTCGATTTGAGGATTGGAAGAACGGAAAAATTCACACAGGATTATTATTGGTGTTTATCGGCTTAAGGAGACTATCAGAAGAGATCATAAAGAAAAAAAGAGAAAATATATGAACAAGATGTGATGTGGAAACAGCAAGATAAGACTGGATAGAATTATGAACTCTGTTTGGACTGATTTGGACATTAAAGCAGTAGCAAGAAGATGATCAGAATCCCCCTTCGGATCTTGAAATATGGGTCCCCTCAACAACAAAATTTAAAATTTGGCTTTGTAATTCAGAATTTATGTGATGTGATTTAATTTGATTTGATTGGCCGGTTAATAAAAAATATTTTTTTTAAAAAACAGAGTGATCCTATGTATGTCACTTCAGAAGGAAGTCCCACTGAGTTCAAGGGGGCTTGCCCTGCATACGTTTGTATGCGATTGAAACCTAAGAATAGCAATTTCTCTACAGCTGGCTGGGCTGAAATTCTTTGGAGAAGAGATGTGCCTCATTGACTGAGGCTTTGCCTTTTAAGGATGAAAATGTTGTTGAGATTTGGAAACCGTAGCTTATAGACTGGGAAGAAAAGAGATTACAAAGACTTTAATGGCCTTTTAAAAAAAGTTGAGTAAACACCATATGCAATTACTCTGTGGGGAAATGCAGCTTAATTAAAATAGAAAGTAATTCTATTAGCATATACACCTGCTGCTCATATGGTTCATTTCTTCCAAAAATAACTGAATAGAGATTGTTCTGTAGTTCACCTACTTAGAATGGCTGCTTCAGCATTTTGTCCTCTCCTCCCAGGTGATGCATTGTTCACTTAAAAATAGTTATACAACATGCAGATAGAGATCTGTTGGGACTTGGCCATCAACTGAAAGGGCACAGTTTATCTTTACTGTTTAAGACCAAAGCCCCAAATCCACAGCTTCATTGGTGGAAAAAAGCAATGCATACAAATTGCACTTTATATTCAGCACTGAAGCTAAACCACTAGACTCCTAGGCTCTTCCATCAGCAGATTCACAATGTGTGTGGTGTGGGGAGAGTCTGGGATCACAGCATCTTGGGAGTAGTTGTCGAAAGGAACCTCTCTAAAAACCAAAGGTAATTAAAAGCCTTTTAAGAGACTGAGCTAAATTAATGACTGAATACCCATAAACACTCTCAGCTCTTTGCCCACAGGGATTGGCATACTCTTCTAAGACTTTCCTCTTGAGTGCTACACCATGGATTCTCTACAACTGCCTCTCCAACCTGCCACTCTCCAGATATTTGGGGCTACAACTGCCATCAGTCCTAACTAGCATGACCAGGGCTCAACGTTAATGGGAGCTGAAGTCTAGCAACATCTGGAAGCACCAGTTTGAGGAAGACTACAATACATGTTTCCAGATCTATGTAAAAAGAAGATGCTTCCACAGGGTGACTCTTCTTGCTTTGTTTCAATGTATTGTTTGAGTTGCTCTTCCCACCATGGTAAGGAATTTCCACATCAAGTGAAAGTTACCTCTGATAATATCTAGTGCAGATATGATATGTGATTGAGAGGATCCACATGGCACGTTGTGATAGATTAGGTAAATGTAAAGGGACCCCTGACCATTAGGTCCAGTCGTGACCGACTCTGGGGTTGCGGCGCTCATCTCACTTTATTGGCCGAGGGAGCTGGTGTACAGCTTCCGGGTCATGTCACCAGCATGACTAAGCCACTTCTGGCGAACCAGAGCAGCGCACGGAAACGCCGTTTACCTTCCCGCCAGAGCGGTACCTATTTATCTACTTGCCCTTTGACGTATTTTTGAACTGCTAGGTTGGCAGGAGCAGGGACTGAGCAACAGGAGCTCACCCCGTCGTGGGAATTCGAACCGCCGACCTTCTGATCGGCAAGTCCTAGGCACTGTGGTTTAACCCACAGCGCCAGCCACATCCCAGCGCCACCCGCATCCCTGTGATAGATTACAGCTTGCTTATCTGTTGATGGATGGTGTTTATTACATGCCCTTCACCTGTTGGTTCCAAAGCAGGTCACAAAAGCCAATACATAACTATGGTTATTTATATTTTAATGTTTTAATGGGAATCTTGATGTGTGTTTTATTTACTGTGTATTTTAACAATGTGTAATTAGGTTTTATATTGCATAAGCGACTTAAAATCATCATCATCACAGTTTGAAGCACCAGACTCATCAATCCAGTAGGAGGAAGTGTCATCACTTCTATCTAAACATCACCTTCCAAAGGCCTACAAAAAAGGTCATGTCTCGACCTGCTGACAAAAGGCACACAATGTTAGGGAGAGCATCCCACAGCTTTGAGAAGATCATAGCAAAGGTCCATTCACTTACCCCCACCACCCTGGAATACACTGGATGGTGACACAATGATCAGGGCCTTCCCATCCAATCATAACACTTAGGCCAATCTGGAAGGAAGCAATCCTTCAGATATTTGGAGCCCAAGTCCCTCAGGACTTTTTATACATCAGCGAAAGCACCTTAAATTGGGCCTGGGTGAAATTGGCAACCGGTGCAGATTGACCCCACCAAGTGGGAACAGTGGAAGTCCATGGAAGTGGCCTCCTGCATAGACAGCAGATAAACGAATTCTAATTTACATCAAAACTATAAGGATTGTTTTGGCTCAGTATTTATGCTGTGCAGTAATCAATTTCTAAAGATTGAGGTCCTAAGGAAAAACAGGGCATTCCAGGATCAAATCAGAAACCAGGACAGCTTCTGTAAATCTGGGACTGTCCCTGGAAAATAGGGACCTCTGAAGAGTCAAACTACAATAAACGTATATCCATCTACTGGGTTGCATCTGTGTGGCAATACGAAGGTTTTTTTCTTTTTCTGAGGAGTGGCCTAAATATTGATTAAATAAGTATGTATATAAATGAGGGCTAGAAAACAGGATGCTACACTTCCTTGCAGTCACAAAATACTTTCAGCTTCATACATAGCTAGCACACAAAGCATCAAATTACAGTTACTCAAACTGAGACAGCTACATAGAGTCTGCGTGCAGCCAATGCATTGTACTCCAAGAGCCTTTGCCAACCATGCTGGCTGGGGCTGATAGGAATTGTAGTCCAAAAATGTCTGGAGGACACCAGGTTACCAAGGGCTATATACTGCAGGAATACATAACAAGACTGCATTTGAGAAGCACTCTGAGGAACGGAATATGGACACTGGGTAGGAAGTATGAAAAAGCTGTTGAGCCTGCCCTTTCTTCCTACGGAGTGTAATTTAGGCCACATCTGGTGGCCTGATTAGTGGCACAGCATTGAAAGCACCCGGGATGTATCTACACTGTGCTCTCACATTATTGATGAGTCTCATCACAAACTCGGAGGCCTCCCGTTGTTCAGCAAGAGTGAAGAACAGATGTACGTAAGTGTCTCTTTCCCTTGCTAGCACCTCATTGTCGAAGCCGCCACGTGTAGATAATGCCGGCATTAAGCACATTGGCGCGTTGCCCACTGCTGCCAACAAATCTGAACATGTCTGGATGGCAGTCATTGTGGCATCTGTGCAATTGCTAAGTAGCCCAGATCGCTGTTTTTGCAGTCGGGGAGGGGGGGTAGAGGAATCGAGTGTTTAAAATGTTGAATACTGTACCTATCTTTTCCCCCCTTTTCATAATATAATAGGGAAATTCTTTTTGCATATTCCCTAAATATAGAATCATACAATTCCCACAAGCAGGGTCCTTGTCATCAGGTGCACACTAAAATGCTTGGTTTTTCATGGGTGACCTCCAAATAGCAGACAGAATGTTTTGGTGCTTATACAGTGGTACCTCAGGTAAAGAACTTAATTCGTTCCGGAGGTCTGTTCTTAACCTGAAACTGTTCTTAACCTGAGGTACCACTTTAGCTAATGGGGCCTCCCGCTGCCACCACGCCGCTGCCGCATGATTTCTGTTCTCATCCTGAAGCAAAGTTCTTAACCTGAGGTACTATTTCTGGGTTAGCAGAGTCTGTAACTGAAGCGTCTGTAACCTGAAGCATCTTTAACCCGAGGTACCACTGTCCCGTATAATAACAAATAATATCACAAATATATTTTTCCCCTCGGGTGTCATCCTTGAACCCCACATTCTAAAACTCCATTCATCCATCAGTTTGATATAGCACTACCTGGTTTCACTGAGATCTTTCATCACAGTGCCGTCACAGCCACTGCTTGTTCCAGCAGTGAGTTGAAACTTAGAATGTAAAAAGCATAGGGATTGTGATGTGATTTCTTCATATTCCACAGGAGGCTCCACATATTTGCGTGCCTGTGTTGAAGATCATATATTATATTAAGTATCCTGACAAGATACTTGCATGCCTGTAAAGGTGCTCTGTGCCTTTTGGTTGTAATTTGGGAAGCGGCTCTGGCTTTTACAAGCATACAAACCTAACCTGCAGATCTACAACATGCTTTTGTAAACTAGGCTGAGAATTTTTTTGCGGTACTTTACCATTTACAAAGCAATCAAAAAGTAATCACAACCCTCTTCCACCCCCATAAAGAATTATTAGCAACATGTGCTGGATGCAGAAATAAGGGGTATGAGAGAGGGACTGGGGAGAAATTCACAAAGAATATAGGAGCCAAATGTAGCTATCTTTGAAAACTGCACTTCTCTGAATTCTGTGGTGCAATATTCAAACCTCTCCAAACAAAAAAAGAAAGAAATGGCATAGAAAAATGTGTATATTAGGGGAAAGTGTGCATATATGAGTGAAAATAATGTAAAAATGCATTAATGGTGATAAATTTCTTGCAAAAATACATGTATAAGGCAAAAGTGTATACAAAAAGTGGCATTATTTGGACAAATGTTCCCCCCAAAGCATACAAGTGTTTGTGTGGACTTTCTTGTGTATTTATCTATATAGATATAAATAGATATAGGTATTAGAAACTGATGTAGAAATGGTGTGAACTGAACTTAAAAATAATAAATTAATATGGACATATTCAGACAATTTAGGAGAACTATCTTCACAAAAACTTGGATGCATACGATTCAGTACAAACAGTTCTAAGACATTCTGTACTGGGGTGCCATTTGAACGGTGGTTCCCCCAGCTCCTCAGGTGATTATTTATCAAGAGCTCCTGCTATTTTTTTTTACTATTGTTACAAACATTTAAAATGCCCATCTTATGCATGTTCCCTCAGAAGTAAATCACATGGTAAGTATGCATACAATTAGAGGTTGAATATATTTTATACTAGATATGGATGACAAGCACACCAGTAAGAAGAAAAAATATTCTTAAAATGTCCTTTGCTTGCTTGTTTGTTTACTATTTATTCTTAAAATGGCCTTTAAATCTTACCAATAATCTTCCACACTCCTGAAATCTGAATTAGCATAATAGGACTCTATGGTGGCTGCAGGGCAGAAGGGATGGCTTTTATATATCCATTGTTTCAGAGCTATACTTAAGGTTACTAACACCTTTTAAGAGATTATTTTACTTGGAAATGACAAATAACAGTTAACAAATAACATATTATAGCCTTAAGGAAACAGCAAAAAATAGTGTCAGATAATTTTCATATAACCTAGATGAGCACAAGCGGTGTCCTACTGGACACCTTCTAGAACATTCTTCTGTTTTCCACAACCTAACTGTTAGTTATACAGTTTGTATAACCAACAAGCAAGCCACAAATTGCTTATGTGAGCAAGAACATAGCCCAGTGTTTTTCTTTCTCTTTCCCACCTCCTGTACATGCAAAGGTTAATTATATCTTTAGTTGTAATGCAGTTGCCTTGCACAAAGGCAGTCCTGCACAAAACAGCTGTTAAAATAAAAATAAAGGTACTGTGAACATCCCTTCAGCAACAACTGGTGGAAAAGGAAATGCTGCAACTTTTCCTTTGAGTTGATGGAAACAAAAGCTGTGTTCAGGCGATGATGAGATGGAACTGGAGCAATGGATGGCACGCAGGAAAATATCACCAAAAAAATACCTGCCACTGCAAAAAACAAAAAACCACTTGTGAACACAAGGTGCTTCAGACTTGGTTAACATGCCATCTCATGTTAGATTATTTCTTTTTACTGCATTAGCCATGCCTCAAATACGTCTGTATTAAATTGTGGCAGGTAAATGTTTCCTGGCATTCCGGAATGGAGAAGCAAGCAGGAAAGGTCCTCAAGCATTTGCAGAGGGATGGCAATATGAGAATAGAATATATTGCCATCCCTCGTAGCACTCCCAGGTGAGAGCTACAAGACCAGATAGGTTTATCTTGGTGGGACAGGCAGGCCCGTTTGAAATATGTGTTGCCCATCCAAGTCCTATTGAAATAAATGAAACTTGCACCAGTGGAGTGCTTGACAATATCATCCGCCGGAATCTTTGTCCCTTTCACAGATTACAGGCATCTGTCTATTGATATTCCTTCCCATATGCTGTTATGTGTACTCTTGGCAATATAAATGATGCACGGAGCTCAGACTAGTGAAACAGATTACCACCCTGGGCTGGCTAGCTCCATTCTGAATGCTTCTGGAGAGCAGGAGAGCATCCCAGCAAGTCTTTGCTTCCTAAAATGCTCGTCCAGATTTTTTAATACTTTTTGTTGCTGTTGCCAGACACGAAGCAGGTGGTACATTATAATCCTTTATGTACAGAACAGAACACACACATAGAGCACATAGAAATACTTGCTGTGTTTTTAGTGTACAATGGTGGCAAACTGCTCTTACTATATTTGGATTAAATTCCTGGTGGCACAAAAAGAAAGAAGTGAATTCCACTCTAGCTTTGGCATTCTGACAGCTGGGAGATACTATGCCAGCGTGTCCCCTTGTGGCTTCCCATGTAGAAAGAAATTACCGGTGGAGTTTTGCATTGAAGAAGAGGGATGGCATTTGTTGCATTCAACAATGGCAACAAAGCTCACCCAGAAGAATTGTTTTAGCGGCAGAATTGTTTTATTTATTTTGCCAAAGTAATAAATGAGTGGGAGTTTTGTTTGTTTGTTGTAATTTATTTTTATTGGATAGGCATTATTTTGTACTATTTTTAAAATTATATTTTTAGCATTTATTTTTTTATTTTTTTGAGCTATTCGGAGAACTCAGTTGTTGGGTGGCCAATATAAATCCTGGGGATTGTATCAAACATTCTCTGTCCGCTAGTGCAAGGTCTCTTTTAATGTTGCACAGCAAAGGAATCCAGTGCAACAGTTTTTTAAAATTATTATTTATTAAATTTCTATACTGCCCTTCATCAGAGGATCACAGGGCGGTTTACAACAGAAAAGCACAAAAAACCATACCATAGTAACACACAAAAACCGTGACCTACCCACCCACCAAATTAATATTTGGGAATTGTGCTATATATGGTGCTTCAAAGTTACCAGCAAACTGCTTATGCATTCTCTTGCCCAACACATTCTGCTGAAGCAAAACATTTCACCAGCAGAACAATTAAATGATGTTAGCTTAGTGCTATACTGGATACAACCTTGTAATAATTATTCTCTTCTACTATTTGAAGAGATGCAACAGCTCATTCATTTATGTGTTAGGTTCTTTGTACAGTACAACTAGCCTTTTGAAATAATTATCATATATGATTGCCCAAACTCAACTAAGGTGTACTTGAGGAATTTAGTCTTTGTGAATCCTAATATAAACTGGCCTTTCAGACTAATATGTGGACCAGAGCTTACCGAACCATAGGATTTCACACTTCCCAAATGTTGTGGCACAGTTCTTGGTTCAAAAAAACACATACCGAAGATGAAAATTTTGAGAAAAAATATATTTTGAAATTACATATGAAGACGATGTATTTAAATGCAACATTTCATGTAGATTTTAAATTGTAGATTGATGAAGAAAGAGGATGGAATAGATTTAAGTGTAGGCACATGAAAATGGCATGGAATGAGCACAAATAGACTCATTTGTCCATTCCTACCAAGCTGTGGTTATGCCTTCAGGCTTACCCTTTTCTTCTGGGCTATAGAGCAGTGATAGGGAACAGGTGACTGGACTACATCTCCCATCATGCCTTGCCATTGGTTATGCTGGTTGAGGCTGATGGGAGCTGGAAACCACCAACCCCTCAAAGGGCACAGGTCTCCCAGTCCTGCTCCAGTCCATTTTCTTACAATACTCCTCCTCACAAGAACTCCAAGTGTAGCAGGCAAACACCCACAAAAACTAAAACCAGCTTTCTTGCTTCCTTCATACTCTTTCATGGAAGATATATTTAAAAAGCAATCATTTTACAGAATAATAAGCAATTACTCTGTCATACCTTGATTATAATTTGTTATGATGTCCAGAGGTCACATAAAATTGTTTAAGAGGCTGGATTTTGTCCTGACTACAGGCCGCCACCACTTAGCTGTCTACAATATAAGTGAATTTAACCTCATTGCTTCAGCGCAATAGTACTTAGAAATGAAAGAAATGAAATGTGAGGTCGCCAAAGAGGCACTTTAAATTATATCCTGTTATGGTCACCTCTGTGCACTGGGCCATATATCT